TGACCTCGGCAAATCGCCAAAAGAACCTATTGTGCACCTTCCTTATTTGTACTCTACTATTGAAAATGAGGCTGTACAATAGTGTTTCTGTCAGTGACATGGTGTAAATATGCAATCAGAAACTGACTCATACTTATTTTAACTGCTATAACTTTACAGTAATTGTGAAAGCATTTGTGACAATTTGATCTAGCCTGTAAACTGGCGTGACTCTTGTAACGTAGTTATTTGAGAATAAATTATTATTATTATTTGCCGTCAAAGAATGAAAGTTCAACCTTAGATAGTTCTAAGCCTACTATCGGTGACCTAAGCATCTGACCCTTCTCTGGTACCTTAGAATTCTCACTTAAATTTTGTTCCTTAATGCCTCCTAAGGGTGACTTACAATAATAAGTATCAAACATAACATCATCACGAGTACAGAGGGGACCTATTAAACAAGAATCATTAACGACTTGCCTAGCATTTCGGGATTATTCAAGCTCTTCCACCCTCTTCGTGTTTGTTTTCTTGCGGTTGTTCATGTTTAAGTGAAGTTCAACGGAAGATAAATAACAAATACAAAATATAGAAATTCCACCGGTAAATGCTCAGTAAAAATCCAAAAGGACCAGAAAAACGTTTCCAAAATACAGATCGATAACAAAAAGAACGATAAGTAATCCAAGGTTCTTCTTCCAAGCAGTTTAATATTATAAACGATTAAAATTCCAAATGTTTCCTTATTCTTCTTAATAATCAGACTGTAGTAGGCTTGTTCTCCAAATTTGTTAGACTGTAATTGGATTTTCTACCGTAGCAGTTCAATTCGATTCCAATAGACGTATGTTATACGCACCCCTCTCCTAGTCCAATATCAGAACACAATAATTCTAGGAGAAAGTGGTCTATTAATAGAGAATAAATGGAAATACAAACATTACCTAACAAATTTTACGTCTTCCAATTCAAAATTACTCTGAATGAGTATCAAGGTTCCGGAGACTAGGTGAACTCGTATACCGCACGATGTCAAATCCAAAAATGTGGCTGTAGCCATATTATATCAAATTTAAACAACAAATGTACAGTTCAGAAGCAAACATAAAAACTTCAATATAAGTACAAAATATAGAAATAGTAACAATATACAATGATAAAATCTCAAATTTGAATCAAATAAAATACCAAAATGTCAACAGAAAGAGTCCGTCATGTCATAACAAAAATATATAAACATGGAGGGATTTTCCAAAAAACAAAACATTCAAAAAAGATTCTACACCCTTTTGATATTCCCCGTGGGGTTCCATTATGAGACATCCCTCAATCGCAGCTCTCGCCTTTCCCTTACAATAGTGGATTAAATACAATAAGCGCAGATTGTCATCAATAACTCTAGGTTCTATAAATGTATCGAATTGTTTTACAAACCTAAAGTAATCGCGGTGTCTGCCATCGAAGAAGGGGAGTTCTACCTTTGGCAACTCTAATCCAACTACCGGTGTCCTAGGCCTCAAATCCTTCCCAGATACCTCTAAGTCCTCGTCCAAACTTCGTTCCTTAGTACCCTCTAATGATGACTTACAACAAAAAGTACTAAGCATAATATCGTCCTTACTAGAGAGTGAACCCTTTAAAAATGAAGTTTCATAAGGGACTTGCCTCATATCCCATATATTCTTCAAGGACTCCATCTCTCTTCGTGTTTGCCTTCTTACGAGAACTTATGATCAATTGAAATTCAACGGAAAGGAAACAAGAAAGACCAAATATAAATTTACACCAGCAAAGCTTCTTCGGCAATGAGAAATCCAAAAGAACCAAAAGATCGTCTTCCCAAAATACAGTTTAAAAATAGTAAATGATAAGTAATCCAAAGGTTCTTCTTCCAGGTATTGTTTTGAGATTGTAAACGATAAAAATTCCAAAAGATTCTTCCGCCTTTTATCGTTTTGAAATGTTACGGATTTTCTACTCTGGTAGTTCACTCCGGCTCGAACAGTGTAGGTTCATAAGCGTTCACCCAGTCAGGGACCGAAAACACGATAATTCTTGGAGGAAACGGTTCTATTAAACAATAAAAGGGAAATACAGACAATTACCAAAACAATATTACACCTTCGAGTTTCCAATTACCACAACAGGTTCCGTTTCCGGAAGAATAAATGCTTCCAGTCAGTTTCGATTGAAGTATAAAATTCCAATATGGCTGTAGCCATAATAAATATCAAATTTAAACAGCATATGTACAGTTCAGAAGAAAACATAAAAACTTCAATATAAGTATAAGACTAAGAAATATTAACAATATACAATGATAAAACCTCAAAATGGAATCAAATAGAGTACCAAAATGTCAACAGAAAGAGTCAGTCATATCATAACACAAATATATATACCTGGAGGGATTTTCCAAAAAACTAAACCTTTAAAATAGATTCTACACTGACCTCTAAAACTAAAGTAAATTATGGGAATATAAGAATATAACCCATTGATGAAGGATAACAGCAATGAAGAAGGAAGAGTTGTGCAGTGTCGAGTGGAAAGAAGAGAAGTTGAAGTAAGAAGAAGCTGGATTTATGTACGTTGAAATCGAAATTTCAGTCAAAAGAGTGGAGTTTATAAAAAAACATTGATAGTTAAAATTTTTCACTAACTGTTTTTTTATTTAATGCCAACCTCTAAGTCATACTGTTAGCGCCTGAGTAAGCATGTTGCGGGTGTCTTGACAGAATAGTGACCTCAGCATAGTTTTGGAGACATGAGTCTCAGAAGAAGCAAGCGTATAAGAGCAACATCAGTGTTACTGATTAGTCGTCTCATCAATCAAAAGAGTCGAAAGCAAACCAAATGTGAACAAAATATTCATATTATTACGATTACATGAGCGATTAGTACAAATCTATAATTATCATAATTTTAATGGCAGTATGAATAGGAATAACGCAAATATGTGTGAGATCTAGCAATGACGGCGGAAGATGCTGCAAGACAAGGAAACATGAAAAAGTTGTACGATACAACGATGAAGCTCGCCGGAAACTATCGTACACAAGAACGACCAGTGAAAGCTAGTAAGGCAAAGTAGTCAGAAACACTGAAAAACAGCGAAACAGGTGGGTAGAGTACTTTAAAGAATTCTTCAGTCGACCAGCACACTGAACACACTAAACATCGAAGCAGCATTCACGGACTTCCCAATTGATGTTCGTCCACTAATGTCTAAAGAGACTGGCGTGACCTTCAGACGAATAGAGTGGCAAAGCAGCAGGACCAGACAACATTCCAGAAGAGACAATGAAAGCAGATGTAGCAGCAACTGCAAAAATATTTCACATTCTTTTCAACAAGATTTTGGATGAAGAAGAAGTACCAAAGACTGGATAGGAGAATACCTGATCAAAGTAGAATAGATAGGCGATCTGAGTAAGTGTGAGAACTGCCTGCACACCCATCACTCTTCTCTCAATACGAGGCAAGGTCTTTAACAGGGTGTTGGTAGACAGAATGAAGCACTTCGTAGATGTGCAACTTCGAGATCAACAGGCTGGATTTCGTAAGGATCGATCGTGTACCGACCAAAATGCAACATTACAGATCATTGTGGAACAATCGGTCGAACGGAACTGAACACTGTACATGTACTTCATTGGCTACGAGTTAGCATTCGACTGTGTGCAGGGTGACACAATGTAGGCTTCTTTGACACTACGTCACACCTGAGAAGATAGTGAACATCACACGGAACTCTTACGATGGATGAAACTGTAAAATCGTGCATGGAGAATCGCTGAAAGACTCGTCCGAGGTGAAGACCAGTTTCATGTAAGGTTGCTCACTCTTTCTCCTTCTGTTTCTTCTGGTGATCGACTGGATTATAAGGACGTCAACATGTTGAGAGTGGTAGGGGAGACAAGGGAGAACCAGCTGCACGATATGGTGTTCGCAGATGATCTGGCTCTTATATGGCATACTCAACAAACTTCGCACATTTTTCTGGCACGTTTCTGTTTTCTTTCGAAACCTCGAAATCGCCAGCAAATACACTCATATCATCTGAAATATTCCGTCTTCTGTCTTTTAATACAAAACCTCAGAAAACGCTTAAGAACCGAACGTAGCTGGTTTGTAGACGTGTTCTTACCCCCATTGACTAGAACATCTATAATCTCATCGCTAAAACTTTTGGGATATCTGTTTTGTGAAGCAGTAAGCCTATCTAAAAGTCTCCGTAGCCAGTAGATATTAAGAGCTTCCAACTTCCAACACAAACAAGGAATTATTTCCATGAACTGACTGACTCCTGCACTCAAAACGTCATCCTCCTTATTCTAGTGAATTATTCGTATGATGTTACGGGATATTACAGGGGAGACGGCCTCAAAGAATCGGGAAAATATAAGGCGTAAATAAGTATTAAGTCGGATCCAATTTCACAATATTTGCTACCTGATCCCTGAATTACTGGCAACTATTTTCACCGACCACATAAAAAATCACTCGAAAAAAGAGGCTTAAAACTTCTCACTGGCAGCTTTAGTGATAAGTACCATAGATGAATCTTACAAACAAGACTCGATGGTCACTCTAACCATACAAAAACTTCGGGCTATGTCTCTTGAAATTTGCTATCGTCTGAACTGGTTCAGAGAGCATACGTCGGGTACTTGAAATGGAACGTTGGTATAATGTTGAGGATTCAAGACAGAGCATGATACTAACCTAAATATTATAACAATGCGTCTGCTTCTTCCATACTTCTGGATCCTAATCCGCAAACGTTGATGATCATATTGTTTGATCCATTCTATCCTCAAATGCTACTTTTCTACCGCCAACTCATTTCGTCTTTCAGCCTCCAGAGAAACCGTAATAATAATACTGAAACTGATAACAAATTGAAGCCAGATAAACCTTGCAGCGAAAAAGGTTCATTAGTTCCATCTTTCAAGACTTCCAATATAGAGTCGAAGCGACAGCGGAGAAGTGGCAACTTCAGCTCGACGGTACATTTGGAGGTCACGAAAATGCGTTATCAAGCATCGAATTGTGCTGGAGTCTCATTCACTGGTGCTGCAGAGGATGGCACTCTGGTGTATGAAATTGATCATTCTGAAGAAACTATTCTGTGTATATCTGATCGCTATCGACATGCAACATTCTGTGATGTCACTCTGATTGTTAACAATACTCATTTCCCCGCCAACAGAGCTATATTGGCAGCTCGCTCTGAATACTTTAGATCGTTGTTTTATGGAGAATTAGCTGAGTCTTCATCCATTGTTCATCTGAACGATACTAACGTGACAGCTCTCAGAAAAATCCTACTTTACATATATACGGGTGAGATGACATTAGAAAACATTGAGGTTAGTTCATTGTAATTATTTTCGATTGGTTGACACGAGCCAATTTTGAAGGTGTGATGAAGTCTGTCACTGCATATATATATATATATTTATATAAATCAGGATTATTTGTATTGCCATTTGATATACTGACTTGAAAATTTACTTGATTAAACTGTACAAGATATTGACATCAATACTGTTACATCGCAAATGCCTTGAACATCCATACTCACCTCTTCAAAGCAGATTAGTGTCTGCAAATCCAAACTTCCAATAGGTCTGTTTGAAATACCAAACGACTTTTCAAAATATGTATTATTAAATTCCTTTGTATGGTATGCAATCTTGATACTACTTCCTGGTTGCAATGTATTCACGAGCATTTTGTTAGCCAATAAAAGGTGAATTGTTCACTTTTTCATGAAAAAAGATGCCAAATAATGGTATGGAAGTTGAATGTCTAGTATTGGGGGTGGACAAGGTATGCATTGTGTATATCTGAAAAAAATTTTCTACATACAGCAAATAAAATATCTTTATACCTAGAAAGCCATAACTTTGATCATCTATCTAGAAAGGACTTATGATATGCTCGTCAATAGTTATGCTTGAAATTAGCCGTGTCACATTGCAGATTGGTATCGATCAACATCCTGATTAGTTTCAGCTGCAGCTCGAGTAATAATTCAAGCTTCAAAAGGTTCGTGTTTGCACAGCCACCGTCGTCAATTGATACGCTTGAATCTATTACGAGTTCACCTTACGCAGTAAACGAGAGTGAAGAAAAATGATACAGTGACACGATAGGCTATTCTAATTCATTTTCCCCGGCTAACTGAAGCAAGAAATCTTGATAAGGTGTAGAAAAGTGTATTCTACATGCACCTAGGAAATATGAGGTCAACAAGTACGCAAATCGAGCTTATTTAAACACGACAGGTTATTTCATTCCTCTTATATTTGCTGAGTATCACAACTAATTCACCTTTTCAGTCATCGCACTCATCGTAAAATTTCACACAACACTACAGAGTATGGTGTTCGATCGATATTTTGTTGTCTGAAACGCAGTGTACTGTTATCTAACAAACCTGATTACGTACTTACTTACATGATTACGTACGCATGTTATCCCGAATGGAGCATAGGCCGTCCACCTGGAAGCACTGGACGGCCGTTTCGTCCTGGTAGTAGCCCTGAGGGTTTTACTGGCGTAATTAACAAACCTTATGCTTTAAAAAGAAATAAATGTTGATCAACTCACCAGAGATTATGCTACCCAAATACTATAAATGGCTGTTATGTTGAACCACAACGTTTTGTTTCCAAACTAGTCAGATCAGATATATATTCAGGCGCATTATCTTACACTTCACAGCTACAAGACACTATTCACCTTACGGAACAATGTTGTCTATGTACTGAGGAACAACTAGTAAATCTTCAAATTGAAAAGTGATCTTCCGTAAAGACGAACGTAAATATCGTTGAGATAATAATAATAATATTATTATTATAACGAACGTAGTGTAAAATCGTAACTGCAGAATCCTTGGCAAATGTGAATAGTCGCATCATTGTTTATCAATAAAAGCTTTCAAACGATTGTGTAGACTAGAATAAAGCGAAATAAGCGTATATACGCAGCTGTACACACCATTAAACTAACCAATATTACTGTTCAACGTATAAAACAACGAGTTTTATGCGACTTGTTATGCTAAGCAGCATGATTATTCGCTTCTGGCTGACGGTCGTTCTTTTTCCTGTTGCTTATTGGTAAACTAAGAACCACGAGATATCATCAACATCATCATCAAGCAATGACTTGATTTTCAATAAATTAAACATTTGACAGGCTGTTCATCACAAAAAAATAATATATTTGTGATATCCGAATGAGTAAAATGTTTGGCATTTTAGTCGTTTCTCGAAACACTGAATAATTAACCGGGAAAGAATTAACATCACCTCAGATGATTAGTAAAATCATCTCCTTTGAGCACGGTAGAGCAATTGCCTGAAAGCGTTTCAGTTCATTGCCTTCCTTTACAGTTGGTAAAGCCTTGAATCATTCTTATGTTTTGTTTTTAATTGTCGATTTGTTGGGTACTGAAGAATTTCGAAGAAGAGTCCTCGAACACCTGTCTACGGCACCATATCTAATGAATTATTCACGAAATCTTCAATTGGCTATACGTGAAAATAAATTTTTAAACAAATGAGCTCGGTAAACCAAAGCTATTCATTAGCGTTGTGTTGAGGTTTACCTTACAGTATGAATCAAGAACTAGATAATTTGATTGTTCACCAACTATTCATAAAACTTCAAAAAACTTCAGTCGAAACTTATTGTGGATTTCACAAACAACTGCATCATACTCTTTAAATATCTAGATGGTATAAAGAAGCCACTTGAAGATTACTTACACAGTATCATTAAACACTTGGTTACAAATGGAAAATTTTGGCAGTGAACATAAACGAACATGCAGCAATTATAAGCTGTGACGTTGTACTTTTATACTCTAGCATCACAATTGATCGATATACATATGTGCTTGGTTGATGGTTTATGTATGTGATTCCCCAGTGTTTAATTCACATTTGGCACCAAGCATTTTGGGCACTTGTGACTATATGAGTGAGTTTTGTAGTAGTGTAGTGAAGGAGAACACAGGTGAGGGCAACCGAATTGTATTTATCACGAAAATTACAGAGTTACTCAGTAAAATAGGAAAACCATATCGTAAATCGTTAGTTAATTTGCAAATCTTCAATCCATCATCAATCCATTGTCTGACATTTCACTATTCATGCATTTCATACAAATTCCATTGTGTTCCCACTCTTCCTTTCTTGATCTTCTCCCATCTTCTGCTGCCAGACATTACGTTTTCACTCTCGTCATATACTACTTATAAGTAGCGCGCACCACAGTAGGATAGCGAACTTTTCAGATGGTCAAATTGAAATCTCCAAGTAGATTCTTTATGAATTCATATTATTATTATTATTATTATTATTATTGTACTTTTTAAATTTATTTTTAATATGCGTAACACTGATATTTTATTTTACTTTACAATACGCGTTCAGGTCACTCTTAGCATCCTGTGTCTCGCTCATCAATATAATCTCTGTAGTCTTGAAAATGTCATTTCGACCTATTTGACACTTTCTCTCTCTGTGAATAATGTTTGGTGTATCTATGACGTAGCTGTAAAGTATAACCTGAATGATCTCATAACAATTTGTCTAAGACTTTTAGACTGTCTTGCGCCTTCTACCTTACACAACCCAGGATTTCTTAGGCTTTCACAGGTTAGTTTATCAAGTCTTTGTACGCGTATATGATTATATGTTATTCAAACATTTTTTTGCATGTTTTATTGATTGTTTCTGAGTAGTGTAATGAATTTTTTAAATTTGTTTGCGAAGAGTTCATTGGGATGAGTATTGTTCACAGTCAGAAATATGGTATTGAATTTTGACTAGTCGAGAATATTTTCCGCCACAGCATTTGAAACTAACTCCTCCTGAAGCCATTTCTTGACTATTGCCGGTCTCGAGCCCAGATAATGAAGGTGGATTGGGCTTAGGGTTGGCCACCTTATCCCAACTAATACTAACTCGCTAAATAAATGCTAACAATAAAAAATAGTTCCAAGCATTTACAATCTGTCGTGAGAGTTAGATGGTATTCATTCAGAAGAGTGAAATGCTGAGATTCTATGAAAGTTACGGGGTCGATGACTTTCTCAACAACCAGAGCGGCCATTCCTCTAGTTACATGGACTGACAACAACGCGAAAGTTCGGTACTGCCTTCTTCGGGATAGTGGACAATCACAGGGAATTAACTCTAACTAATATAGTTTCTAAATAGTCAGCCTTCATTGTACTTAGATGCGTAAATAGAACTCGTGAAGAGCAAACTCGAGAAAACCAGGCTGGTTTCAGACCTGGACGCGGCTTCATAGACCACATCTTCACTTTACGACAGGTCCTGGAACACAGACACAAATTTAGACTTCCGAAAATAGTTCTGTTCCTGGAGCTAAAAGCGTCATTCGACTCTGGATCGTGAGGTTCTGTGGCAGTGTCTGTCATTGAAAGGTGTACCAAAGAATTACATTAACCGTATACAAGCTCTCTACTCAAACACCACTGGTCGAGTGAGAGCTTATGGCGAACTGTCACCGGAATTCTATGATTCAAGTAATGTCCGTCAGGGATGTCCGCTTTCTCCATTCCTGTTTAATTTTATCATAGCAAGCGCCTGGATATAACATTATCTTCGTCTCAATTTTCAGTAGTAGACCTTTTACCAGGAGGCTCGCTTATTAACTTAGAATATGCCGATGATATAGTTGTACTTGGTGAAGACGCTGACAAAATACAGTCCTCTGACTACCCCACGCAACAATGTTCGAGATGCGGTGTTCATCCCGGAAATGCAAAATGTTGCTTCAAGAGTGGGTTGCATCTGCACCTGAACTAGTGATAGGGAGTGAAGTAGTCGAGCGTGTAGACCGATTCACTTATCTGGGGAGTCTCATCAGTGCTGATGGCCTTGTTTGTGATGAAATCTCAGCTCGCATACAGAAGGCTCGATTGGCTTTTGCCAACCTGCGTCACTTATGGCGTAGGCGAAGTATCCGTTAGCTGACTAAAGGACGAGTGTACTGCTCAGTAGTTCACTCCGTCTTACTTTATGGCTGTGAAACATGGCCAGTGAGAGTAGAAGATATTCGTAGGTTACTGGTTTTCGATCATAGTGTAGCCAATAAAAAGTCGAAAATGTCTTGAATTCGTTTACCGAGAAAAGGAAAGCATCAATAGGGATGAGAATGAGATGGAATCTAATGTCAATCGTCCGAATAAGACAAAATGTGAGTGTTGGATTCAATTGCCAGCCACATCCCATTTATTCAGTGTAGCTATCTGAGTTGGCCTCCTCTATATGCATTTCCGAATTCAGCTGCTCTTGTGGAGATAGCTATATTGGGCGTACTAGCAGGCAACGTAACCAAAGAATGAATGAACATCTCCCAGCATGGTTCAAGAAGGGTCAGTCAAAAACAATACGCAGTTCTATCTTAGTACACTTGGTAGTGGTTGTATTGTGGATAAGTCTAGATCTTTTCGGCTGATCTATAGTATACTTCCATCATTTCCCAACGGAGTTCGATCCCGTCTCCTACACGTAGCAGAAGCCATTGGAATTCGTGCATTGAACACTAATTTATGTGTTCAGAAGGAATTCGTGACACACCCGCATCCCTTCCGTGGACGGATATGACATAGCTAACGATTTAAGATTTAAATTTCATTTTGTTAATATTAGCAGTATTATTTTCACATCCTGTATTTGTTGTTGGTAATTCTCTGCCTCTTTCCGTTTATATTCTTCTTCACTATCTAATAATTATGTACACACTTCTTATTACGCGTAATGGTTTTAATGTTTTTGTAATGATTATTTTAAGTGTTGTTATATTCACGCTGGACCTACTATTGATAAAACTTTTGTTATCGTTTTCTTACAACTACTATCCGTACACCTGTGGCGTCCTACAGTGATCAACTTGTACTTTTGCCTATGATGTGTGTAGTGACGTAATCTTTACTTCATTTCTTCGTGATTATTGACTCAAATTGCCTTAATCGGTTTAACAATTTCAAATAAATATTCATGTATATTAGACAATAAATCATGATCACGATCTAATCGAAAACAACAATATTGTTCGCTTATATCGGTGTTGTTCTAATTTTCACGATGGGAATTTTTTAATATCCAGTTGTGTATTTTATCTAAGTAAATTCACCCCACAAAAACTTCGAATTCATATTTAAAACAGTTAATCCCTTCTCATAAATGTTGATAGAACAATGAGAAGACGTAATTGATCTGTTACAATGTAATGTATTCGCACTATACACCTATTCCCGACAATCTGGTCACACTTGAACACTTGTCAACGCAATTTATATGATGATTAGTAATGAAAGGTCAATAGAAAAATGAAAGTTCAATTATAAACATAAGGGGGATAATTGTAATCATAAAGGTGAGAGAGAGAGAGAGAAAATGAGTGTAATTTAGAAAGAATAAGAAAGGTTAGGAAAACTGTAGTAACATTACCACCTAGGCCAAGGAAATGGCTTAAAGATTAACAGAGTGTAAATTCACGGTTATAACAAACTGTTTGTGAACTTTTGTCACGGCATTTTACATGAAGAATAGTGAAAGTTTAACTAAACATAAGGGGAATAATTGTAGTCATGAAGGAGAGTGAGAAAAGTAACATAATGTAGAAATTGTCAATTAGAGTTATGGAGATCAGTGTTATTACACACATCAATCAATCATTGTTAGACCATCATTAGAAAGCTGGAAGCACTGAAGGACGGACGTTTCGTCCTGGTATGGGTCTGACACATCAACAGTGTGCATCTGTGACTCCAACACCTCTCAGGATTCGAACACGAGACTTTCGGTATTGTGCGTCACAATACCCTAGGCCAAACACATGGCTTTAAGATTACCAGAGTGTAAATTCAAAATTTCCGCCAGTAGAACCTTCGGGGCTACTGCCGGTCCCAAGCCCGCGTAAAGGAGGAGGGTTGGACATAGGGTTGGCGGCCTCATTTCGTCGAAAACTAACTTGCCAAAAAAACGCTAACCAGAAAAATTAATTCAAACCATTTTAACTCTGCCCTGGAAGTTGGAGGAAGAATTATGACGTCTCGTGATGAAAGCCGAGTACCCTCGGATGTCACCAAGCCGATGCCTCTTCTCACAACCAGAGCAACCATTCTTTTAGGTACATGGAACGTTCGTACATTGTGGGAGACTGGAAGACTATTTCAAGTTGCGGCAGAAATGAAAAGATACAACCTCGAGGTGCTCGGCATCAGTGAAACGCATTGGACACAGGTAGGACAACTGAGACTTGCTTCAGGGGAACTGCTGTTATACTCTGGTCATGAAGAGGAAAATGCTTCACATACACAAGGAGTTGCACTGATGCTGTCCAAACATGCACAAAAGGCACTGATAGGATGGGAATCTCATGGACCCAGGATCATTAAAGCATCCTTCAAAACAAAGAAACTGGACATTACAATGAACGTCATCCAATGCCACGCGACTACCAATGACTACAATGACGACGTTAAAGATCAATTCTACGAAAGGCTGCAGTCAATCGTCGAGAAATGTTCACCAAAGGATTTGACGATTCTTATGGGAGACCTGAATGCCGAGGTTGGAATGGACAACACTGGATATGAAGACATCATGGGACGACATGGACTGGGAGAAAGGAACGAAAACGGTGAGAGATTTGCAAACCTATGTGCCTTCAACAAACTGGTCATCGGTGGCACAATATTCCCGCACAAACGCATTCACAAAGGCACATGGATTTCACCGGATCACACTACTCAAAACCAGATTGCTCATATCTATATCAACAAAACTTTCAGAAGGACTATGGAGGATGTGAGAACCAGGAGAGGAGCTGATATAGCCTCAGATCACCATTTGCTGATCGCCAAAATGAAACTGAAACTAAAGAAGCACTGGACAACGGGACAGATAAAATCACATAAGTTTAATACGGCCTTTCTTCGAGATACTGTAAAGCTCAACGAATTCAGGGTAGCCCTCACCAATAGGTTCCAGGCCTTACAGGATCTACTCAATGGAGAGGACGAAACATTGGAGAACAATTGGAAAGGGATTAAGGAGGCAGTTACTTCAACATGTCACGAAGTTCTGGGTCACAAGAAGTACCATCACAAGGAATGGATCTCTGTTGATACTCTTGAAAATATTGAAGAAAGGAGGAACAAGAAGGCAGCAATCAATGTCAGCCGAACAAGAGCGGAGAAAGTTACCGCACAAGCTGAATACACAGAAGCAAACAGGGAAGTGAAGAAGAGCATCAGAGCTGACAAACGAAAGATCTAGCAATGACGGCGGAAAAGGCTGCAAGAGAAGGAAACATGAGACAATTGTACGAAACAACAAAAGAAGCTGGCCGGAAACTATCGTAAACCAGAACAACCAGTGAAAAGCAAGGAAGGCAAAGTAATCAGCAACACTGAAGAACAGCGAAATAGGTGGGTAGAGCACTTTAAGGAACTCTTGAATCGACCAGCTCCACTGAACACACCCAACATCGAAGCAGCATCCACGGACCTCCCAATTAATATTGGCGCACCTACGATTGAGGAGATCAGTATGGCCATCAGACAAATCAAGAGCGGCAAAGCAGCAGGACCAGACAACATTCCAGCAGGGGCAATGAAAGCAGATGTAGAAGCAACTGCGAAAATATTTTACATCCTCTTCAAGAAGATTTGGGATGAGGAACAAGTACCATCAGACTGGAAAGAAGACTACCTGATCAAAATACCAAAGAAAGGCGATCTCAGCAAGTGTGAGAACTACAGGGGCATCACTCTTCTTTCACTACCAGGCAAAGTCTTCAACAGGGTATTGTTAAACAGAATGAAGGACTTCGTAGACGCCCAACTTCGAGATCAACAGGCCGGATTTCGTAAGGATCGATCGTGTACTGACCAAATTGCTACATTACGGATCATTGTGGAACAATCAATTGAATGGAACTCACCACTCTACATCAACTTCATCGACTACGGGAAAGCATTTGATAGCGTGGATAGGAAAACAATGTGGAGGCTTCATCGACACCACGGTGTGCCTGAGAAAATAGTCAACATCATACGGAATTCTTATGATGGATTCAACTGCAAAATCGTGCACGGAGGTCAGCTGACCGACTCGTTTGAGGTGAAGACCGGTGTCAGGCAAGGTTGCTTACTCTCACCCTTTCTCTTTCTCCTGGTCATCGACTGGATTAAGAAGACGTCAACTCCTGAGGGAATCACGGTATCAACTGGACAGTTAGGACGCAGCTGGACGATCTGGACTTCGCAGATGACCTGGCTATTCTATCGCACACTCAACAACAAATGCAAGAGAAGACGACCAGTGTAGCAGCAGCCTCTGCAGCAGTAGGTCTCAACATACATAAAGGAAAAAGCCAAATTCTCCGATGCAACACAACATGCACCAATCAAATCACTCTTGATCGAGATGCCTTGCAGGACGTTAACACCTTTACATATCGGGGTAGCATCATGCACAACCAAGGTGTATCCGATGCAGATGTGAGGGCGCGGATTGGCAAAGCGAGGGCTGCATTTCTACAGTTGAAAAATATCTGGAACTCCAAACAACTTTCAAACAAAACCAAAATCAGGATCTTCAATACAAATGTGAAGACAGTTCTACTGTATGGAGCGGAAACATGGAGAACTACCAAAGCCATCATCCAGAAGATACAAGTGTTTATTAACAGTTGTCTACGCAAAATACTTCGGATTCGTTGGT